TTCCCTTCCCTTCCCTTCCCTTCCCTTCCCTTCCCTTCCCTTCCCTTAGGACCTATGTGCTCAGGGATGTGCAGATGGAGCGATGCCACATGTGTCCCTGTGTCACTTGTTGAAGCACCAGGAGGATCTGTGCAGCCCCATTCTGGCAGTGTGCGCTGTGGCTCGCGGTGTGTGAGCAGCCCTCTGCTTTTCTAGGTCATGGCACTGCTGCTGTGCTGGATGCCGCCTGGCACCGCTGACGTGGGGATTTGGCCCCAAGGAGGCGGCCCTGGGGTGGCCAAGCTGCGCTGTGCTGAGCATCTGGCTGTGGTTTTGGGGTGGCTGATGCTGATAGATGGGGCATGTGGCGTGGGACTGGGCTGAGTGGTGCTTTGGGGAGGCACTGGGAGCAGTGGGGGCTGAGCCCTGCCCCACGGCGGCTCGGTTTGGAGCCAGGCTGTGGGAGCCAGCGTTGGTGCTCATGTGGTCCCAGCACAGAGGAGGTGGGGAGGAGCAGGGCGGCCACAGCTGTCGTCACTGTCACTGTGGCTCTCGCTTGGCTGCCCCCTGGCCGCCCTCGTCGGGTTGCTCAGAGCCCCATTCCCCAGTGGGGTTTGGCACCGCGGACACTGGAGGCGGCTGCGAGGCGGCGTCAGCCCCTCTGTGCTGGAGCCTGGCAGCAGTTCCTCCTCGAGGCCTTTTCTTCCCACACACTGCTTTTGATCTAAGGAGCTCGCCAGGAGCCGGGATGCTACAAACCTCAGTCTGAGCTGGAGAGAAAATGGACCCAGACCTGTGGGTGCTGCCATCATTGCCTGCATCCAGGCTATTTCTATATGGAACCACAGGAATCAATGGGTTTTCCTTCACCTGGGCTGTGCCCATCGCAGCTGAGTGACAGATATGGGGCAGGACAGCCCCGTCCCCACAGGTTCCCTGTACTTTCCGTGCCCCACAGGAGGGGATGTGGCAGCCCCGCACTCGGACGGACGCACGGACCTTTTGGGACCTGCCTACTTTGACGCCTCGATGCTTCTCCAAGGGAATTTGGACCAGGGCCCTGCAAATTCACTTCCTACCACGCTGCCATCCTCTAATGGGGACGAAGCTGGCCTGGAGCCACCTGACTCGGTTGCCAAACATCAAGGCTCCGTCTTTCCTCTGTGCTTGCAGGGGCCACCGCGTCCCTCTGCTCTCAGCCCATCTATTCATTCTCAATGTCTGCCGAAAGCAGGGTGGATCCAAGCTCTTCTCCTCCCCAGAGAGCAGCACCTCGGAGGCTCCCAACGCATCCAGCTCCAGACAAAACCAGGGACTACTGAACCCCCACCCCGCATGCATCCACTTACTGCCGCTGCCTGAAGGTCTGGAACCCCAGTTTGGTGACCTCCTGGAACCCCCTGCCCCTTGGCACGGTGTTGGGGGGGGCAGGGGAGAGGGGCAGGACAGGTCTGTGCAGTGGGAGCAGCGTCCCAGTGGCACTCGGATGGCAGAGGGAGCAGCCTAGTGCTGGACTTGGGGGGGCCTCACTGCTGATGGGGTGTGGGCTGTGCTCACACCATTCCCTGGCAGAGCGCAATCCTTAATCCCAGCGGAGATCCCCCCCGCGCCGTCTCCCGGCCTTGCTTCTGGAGCGGAGTTTTACCAACAGCAGTTAAGTAAAATAAATAAAAGGCCTCTGCTTGCCAGTGGTAGCGCGGCACGGCCACTGATTGGCAAAGCGGCCCCATTAATTACGGCTCCGCGCCGCTGCCAGCCTGCGTGCTTCAGGAACGGCGGTGGCAGCGAGCCGGGAGGCACGGCGCTGCGGGGGGGGAAGGAAACGGGGAGCGAGCAGGGAGAGGGGCGGCAGCGGGGGCAGGGGGGGATGCGCTGCAAAGCCAACCCCGAGCCGAGCGCACACGGGTCGGTGCTCGCGGCGGCACCGGCGCGCAACGCCTGGGCGCACACGTGTGCACGTGCGTGCTTCGCAGGGTGCCGCGTTCCGGGGGGCCGAAAGGGGGGAAGGCTGCGCTTTCGGTGCTCCGCTCTTTCATCCGGCGGAGCTCAGAGCCTCAAGGAGGGATGGAGAGGCCGCGCCGGCGCTGGGTGCGGACGGCAGCGGGAGGTGAGCGCAGGGGCGGCTCTGAGGCTCCCGCTGCCTTTGAAGCAGAAGCGAAGACGCCAGGAGTGGGAGGCGGGCGGCTCACCTCGTGGGGAAGAGCTCGTTAGGGAGCTTTGTTCGCCGGCGGTCACCGCTGGGCAGCTGCGATGTGCTGCGATGGGATGGAGGCGCTCCGTGCCCGCAGCCGCGTGGCTGTGCGTCCTGCGCCGAGCCGTGCCGCGCTGTGCCGAACCACCCAGCGTCCCACTCCTCCTGCCGTTGCTTTCCAACCCGCTGCCCGGTGCTGCAGCGCTGCCCCTCGCCGTGCCCTGCCCTGCTCCCTCACCTCCCGAAGTCCCGCTGATCGCGTGTCTCATTCAGCCTATTAACAGAACACTGCCCGGTTGAAAAGCGTGTCGCTTAAAACCCAAATCTCCTTTACTTTGCTATTAATCGTTTCTCAGATTATTAATGCTGGCAGGATTTAGTGACGCCCGCTTATCGCTTTTGAGGCGGTGTCTTTGTTTCTACCATTGCCTGGCACAGAGAAACCTCTGCTCCCAGAACCGGGGCTGGGCAGATGGAGCTGTGCGGAGTCCCCCATGAAGTCGCCATTAATGCAAAGATCTTCAGGAAAACAGCCTGTGAGCACAGCTGGGGTGTTGCGGTGCAGGGCAGCGCCTCCTCCTGATGCTGGAACCTGGAGCGATGCAGGATGCCGGCAGCAATGGGGAGATGTGGGATCCCAGTGGTGATGGAGCGCTGCCCACTCCCCAGCGGAGCCGCCACGCCTCCCCCTGTGGCACAGCGCTGTCATTTCCATGCCGTCGTTTCCCGGCTCTGTAATGGCTCTTTAAAAGCTTTAATTAAAAACCCAGCCCTCCCCTCAGCCCGGGCGGGGAACAAAGGGAGATGAGAGGGGCTGGAGCAGGCTGCAGTGTGCCAGCGGTGCCAGCGGTGCCAGCGGTGCCAGCGGTGCCAGCAGCAGCTCCCACAGCCCCGTGAGGCGCTGGGATGCAGCAGATCTCCGGGGGCAGCAGGGATCCCCGCAGCCCACAGCTCCCAGCATGGCAAGGTGTGTACTGGGCTCCCCCCTGCACGAGGGATGGGGCCGTTTTGGAGCACTGGGACGGCGATGCTGCACCGCGCGATGTCCCCACGGCGATGCCAGGTGGGGCTGGTGGCAGCCTCGATGTCCCCGAGCCTCTCTGCAGCACTGTGTCCCCGCGGGTCACTCGGTGCCCCAGCTGTTCAATATCTTCTCAGGCTCAGCGTGAGGCCCAATGAAATATTTTCACTGCAGCAGCAGCAGCACTCGCTGCAGGGAGCGGGGCTGGTGCTTAACAAGGCCTTCGGCAGCGGCTGTGCGCTGGTGCTTGGAGCATCCTGGCTCTGCTGTGGGGCTGGGCTGCGGGATGCTCCTGCAGGGCAGCGTGGTTGGGATGCAGGGAGCCGTGCCGGCTGTGCTGGCAGAGGGGCTGAAGCGTTCCCTGCTCGCTGCTGCCGGGTGAGGGAAGCAAGCACCATCTTGTGTCCCTGCCAGGCTGCGGGAGCCCCGCGCTCAGCTCGCTGCAGAGTGGAGCGTGTCCCCATCTGACCTCCTCCTCCCCTTCCTCCTCCTCCTCCTCCTTGCCATCCCTAAAGCTGCACATGGTCAGATCCTCCAGGGGACCCCGTGATCCTGACGGTGTCTGTGATGCCTGCAGGGCTCTGGCAGGGGCACGGCGCAGCTGCTTGTGGGGTCTCCCGTTGAATGGGGCTGGAGCAAAGCAGTGCTTCCATTCAGTCCCCCCCATTTTACACCTGGGGGTCACACCTCCATCCTGCCCAACCGCCGCCTGCCGTGCCTTCCTCCCCGTGCACGTGCTGCCGGCACTGAGCCCCTGTGCCTGTTGCATGTGAGCTGGATTATTTTTAGCTCCCTAATGTGCCCTGCACCGCTTCAGCGCAGCCTCAGCCGCAGCTCCGGCTCCTGCCCTGCGTAGGGGAAGCCCGGCTGCCAGCAGTAAGGGTAGGATTTGGAACATGGAAGAGCCTGAGGGTGAAGGGGCACCTCCCAGCCCTCTCCAGTTGTCCCCATGCCCCACAGAGCAGTGCTGATGGGCGATCGGTGTCCTTGGCTGCTGTAAAGCTGCCCTCTGGTCCTGCTTAAAAAGGCCACCGCGTGCATTATTTTGTTAATGAGTTCTTGAATAGCTATTGACAGCAATGCTCTGCATGCTTGGTGTGGTACCCAAGAAATAGGTGTTGGAATGATAGCTCGCCCCGTGCTGGGGTCTTGGTGTGGGAGGTGTGGATGCCGTGACAGCAGGGTGTTCCAGTGAGCTGTGGGGTGCAGGGGGGCTGCAGGATGAGTCCAGAGTGCTGTGCCTGCTGAGCAGTGCTGGTCGGGGCTGCAGGAAGGATCCCTGCAGAGGCTGTCAATCTCAGGGATGTGTGTGGAAATGGGATGGCAGCAGGGTCCTGGGTGCTGTGCAGAGCCTGGGGGCTGTGTTGCAGGGGGTGGCATTTCCCACGGTGACCCGCAGCATCTGTTCACTGCACAGCTCCTGCCCTTGAGCGAGCAGGGGCTGCAGCGTTGGTGGCTTTGGCACACAGCTGCCATCATGGAGGTCACCGCAGCACAGTGGGTTGGGGCAGCACTGGGTGAGGGCTGTCCCCTGGGGGCTGGGGGCACCCGATGTGCCTGACCCCCCCTGCACCAGCTCCGCACTCCTGGTGCAGCTCCCTGTAAGCATCCATCTGCCTGCCCATTTGTCTCGTCTGCTTATCCATCCGTCCATCTCTCCCACAGGGCAAATGCCATAGGATGACCGCTGCTGGTCCCCTCTTACTGGCTGTGATATCGTCTGTCCTGTGGCTCACGCGGGGCTTTGACCCGGCTCCCAGCGCCTGCTCCGCTCTGGCCTCCGGCGTCCTCTACGGCTCCTTCTCTCTCAAGGACCTCTTCCCCACCATCTCCTCCGGCTGCTCCTGGACCCTGGAGAACCCCGACCCCACCAAGTACTCTCTGTACCTCCGCTTCAACCGTGAGGAGCAGGTGTGCACCCACTTCTCGCCCATGGTGCTGCCGCTCGACCACTACTTGGCCAACTACACCTGCGAGCCGCGCACGGAGCCCGCCAGCCCCCCGCCCTCCCCACACCCCGAGGAGGAGGAGGAGGAGGAGGAGGAGGGCGAGGAAGCCGAACTGGAGCTGTGCGAGGCCGCGGGGCCCTTCACCTTCCTGCACTTTGACAAGAACTTTGTGCAGCTGTGCCTGGCGGCGGAACCCGAGGCTGCCCCGCGTCTGCTGGCCCCGCAAGCGCTGGAGTTCCGCTTCGTGGAGGTGCTGCTCATCAACAACAACAACTCCAGCCAGTTCACATGCAGCGTGCTGTGCCGCTGGCTGGAGGAGTGCCTGCAAGCCCCCGGCGCCCGGCGCTGCGGCCTCACCCACGCAGGTTGCAGCTGCCAAGCAGAGAGCCCCCCGGCACCGCGGCACAACGGCACACGGCTCCCCACCACCCGCACGCCTGCCCCGCCGCCCGCTGCCACCCCCCAGTGCTGCCCCCAACCTGAGCTGCATTCTGCCAGTGGCAATGAGTTCGAGCTGCCCGAGGTCCCCCACGGTGAGTGGGGAGTGATGGGGGGTGGTGGGATGGGGTTTGGGGCTGGAGACAGAGCGGGAACGGTGCAAAGGGTGGATCTTGTTCATGCACACTCCTGTCCCTCATTGGGCGCTGTGCTCTGAGCAGGGAGAATGTGAATGGATGGATCCTGACCACGCACGCACCTCGGGAATGGAGGTGCAAATCCACATCTGGTTGTGGAGCAAGGAAATATGCGAAGGATGGGTCTTGCTCATGCAACTTCTCAAGGTGGGGGGGGATGCAAAATGGGCTCTGCACTGAGCAGAAACACCACGCAAAGGATAAATCCTGCTGTGTATGCTTCCTGAGACAGGAGGGTGCCCAGCGTGTGCAGCGCACGGAGCTGAGAACCCACACGAGGGGTAAATCCCTCCCGTGCCCACTCCCAGCTCTGGGTGCTTCTCTCTGAGCAACATGCTGAGCTCCCAGAGCTGCAGCTCGCTCTGACCAGCCCAGCCCCTGCACTTTGCCACGGCTCTTTGAGCACAGCCTGTGCAGCCCCAGGGCCTTGCTCTCCTCCTGCGCGGCCGCGCTTCTGCTCGCCTGACCGCGAGCCCGGAGCAGGAGCGCTGTCACTCTGCATTGGTGCAGACGTGGAAAACAATTTGCAGGTAAAATGACCCTTTCCCACGGCAAATTACCCTTGACTGCTGCAGCCCGTGCTCTTGTTATTCCAGGCAGGATGGCACGGCCGGGCTGTTAACCAGGCACAGCAAAGCCATTTGCTCAGGATGGAATTGCGGCAACAAATTGCAAGCAAAGCAGTCGTGCCCCCCCTGCCCTGAGCAACGGGGCTGGGCTGCTGGGGAGCCTCCCATCCCAACGCGCCCTTTGCACGTGGCGCCGTCCCTGGTGCTTTGGGAGCACATCTGGCCAGATGTTGTTCCCCTGTGCCAGCCCCAGGCGCTGCAATGAGGAGCTTAGCTGCTCGCTCTTTATCCAGGGCACCGCTGCTCCCAGCAGATTAGGTGGTGGCGATGGGCTGTGTGTATATATATAATTTCATTGGGCTTTAGCATTTATTTCAGGAGCTAAATGTCATTACGGGCAGATCCCCCAAATAAATCCCCGGTCTGTTTCAGCTGCGTGGCTATAAATCGCCTCATCCCGATGGGAGCTCCTTGATCTGATTTTTTTGTTCTCCCCCCCTTCCCTCCCCACTTCAAATGCAGCTCTGCATGGGAGGATTAAGAGCTGAGCGCCGGGTCCAGGTGCCATCCCATTGCACTGCATCCCCGTTGCACTGCATCCCCGTTGCACTGCATCCCCACGCACACCGGGCGCTCACGTGCGTCACTGCGCCCGGAGCACAGAGCATCCTTCATGGCAGCGAGGGGTTGCTCCCACCTGGCCTCCCCCGAGCCCCCCGGGGGGAGAATGGGCTCCTTTCAGGGCGGCAGCGGGGCTGGGGCTGAATGGCGCCTGTGAGCAGAGCTTGGCGGGTGCCCAGCACTGATCTCACCGGCTCTCCTCCGCCGAGAGCCGCAGCCGTTCGGGGCTGGCATCGGCCCAGCAGCTCCCGGGGCCTCCCCGTTCCCAGCCACAGCGGTGCCACGGGGTCCCCGTCCCCAGCACTGTCCCCTTTTACACTGTGGGAGCCAAAGGGATGCAGCCCTGTTCCCAGCTGTGGCGGTGCCATGGAGTTCCCATCCCCAGTGCCGTCCCTGTGCACCACGTACCCAAAGGGATGCAGCCCCCGGAGCGCAACATCGTGTGGGTGCACGAGTCCACAAAGGCAGAACTGCCCCACCAGGCAGGTGGAGTCTCGGGGCATCATGAAGTGACTGCTTGTGTCACAGCTGTGCTGCCCATATTTCTGCCATTGGGCTCTCAGCCCTCCAACTGTGCAGCTCATGGGGCCGTGGTGCCCATTCCACCGAAACCACTGCCTCACAGCAGCCCCCGCCACGGCAGTGATGCTGGGAGGAGGCTGTGGGCTCCCAGCTTTCAGGGACATGGCCACCGTTGGGGGGTCAAACTGAAGGACCCCCTCCTCGCAGCAGCAGCGTTATGGGGAACCCTGGGTCAGGTGCTACGGGTGCAGCAGGGTCTGGGCATGGCTGCGGGCAGAGCCCTGCAGTGAGGACTGGGGATTTAGTGCTCTCCAAAGAAAATTGAATTTGGTGTCTCTGTCGAACACAGCTGCGCAAAGCGCCCTCATATATCCTCTGGATTTATGGCTTCCCCGGGCTCTCGCGGGGATGTCTGTACTTGCACTGTGCTGTTCTCAGGGCCGGGTGGCCCTATGGCTGAGCAGCACCTGGTGGTCCCCCGTGTCCCCATGTGCTGCAGAGTGGTGCACACAGAGCAGGGCTGCGTCCCAGCACAGGGCAGAGCCAGGCAGGGTCATGAAGGAGAGTCGGTAAATTTGAGTCTATCTTCTGGCACTGCAAAGTGACAGCACAGGAGGTGCTCCGTGCCTGCAGCCATAGATCACCTGTGTGCATGGCACGAGGAGCACGGCTGGGTGCTCCACATCCCCGTGTCACCTCCTGTCCGTCCCGTGGGGACGTCGCTGTGCTGAGGTGGTCACACCATCCCAGCTGGCCCGGCAATGGGGTGCCGTGGGGCTTCGGGCTGTGTGTGCCACCTGCATCCTGATGCCTGGGGACATTGGTGCCACCTCCATCCCGATGGCACCGCGTCGCTCCCACCGCTGGGATCACATCGGTGTGCTGGATGTGGGGACACAGAGGGGTCCCAGGAGGATCTGGATGGGGAGATGGGGTAAGGCTGCCCCCGTGCCTCTCTGCTGAGCCCTCTGTGTGCCAGTTAATTTCACGCCAAATGCTCTTGATGGATCTCTTGTTATTTTTGGTGAGCTGAGCCATAAATTTGTGCCACCTCACTGCAGCAATCTGTTCGGTGGGGAAGGGAGAGCGCCGCCGCTCGCTGCCGTTCGGGTGCCCAGGGGTGCACTGGGGACATCGGTACCCTGGAGTGCATGGATCAATTACAGCCCACGCAACCAAAATGCAGGGGCTGGCAGAGGTGTGGTGCATTTTGAGGCTGTGGTTGTGCTCAGCCATCTGTGACCCTCACACACCGTGAAGCCCCACAGTGCTCAGCATGGGGCTGGGTGTCCTCGTCCCACTTCACAGCATCCCCATAACATCCCATCCCCGCTCTGTCCCCATGTCCCTGTGCCCATCCCCATATTTGCCGTCCCCACAATGTCCCACCCCCGTGCCCGCCCCCCTCCTGCTCTCACTGCAGCCCTTCTCTCTTCCAGGCAATGCTGTTGAGGAGAACCAGAAGGTGAAGACGCAGTGGCCCCGGTCGGCGGATGAGCCAGGGGTGTACATGGCCCAGACAGGTACAGGAGGGTGAGGGATGGGTGGCTCTGCGCGGGGTGATGGGTGATGCAGACAGAGTGACTTCCTTTGCTTCCAGCCCATGGACAGACTTCATTTGTACCATTTATACATTTTTCCTCTGCGCCTTCCTCCGAGGGTTGTAAAGCAAAAAAAAAAAAAAAAAAAAAGAAAAGAAAAGAAAAGAAAAATCTATTAATTGTTTCGTTCAAATGTATTTATTTGGCAAATTCATCTGGGTAATTGGAGTGCTGTGCTCCCCCTCCCCAGCACCTCCTGATTGATGGGCCTGGAGGCGAGCTGGGAGATGGATGGGCCCCAGCACTGCTCCGTGTGCCCGGCATGCAGATCTCCCACAGCCGGCTCCTATCCCATGGAACTGCTGGGTGCAGCCTGGGGCATGGGAACACCCACTGTGGGGGGCACCCAGCCCCACTGCTGGCCCTAAATATGACCCCATGGGAGAGATGGCCCCATCGCCCCATGATGCAGGCAGCTCAGAAGGAGCAGAGCCTGCCTGCGGGACAAATTTTGTCCCCTTCAAAGCCTTTTTCCATGTATTCCTTTTTAATTTAAACTGATGGCCTTTTCTTCTGGTCTGTCCAATAGCTTCAGGTAGATCATCAAGCTTCATCAGAGCTGGGTGCTTGCAAATGTCAGCAGTGTGGCTGTGCGGGGAGGGCGGGCGGTGCTGCATGCCGCAGGTCTCCCAGGGCACCCAGAGGTCGTGCAGGGCTGGGACTCCACACAGGGTCAGATCTGCGCAGGGACTCTGAGAGGTGTCAGATCTTGTGCCTTGACCCTTTTTCCAGGCTTGGGAGCAGCAGTGCCATAGCGGGGGCTCCTTCACCCTGCTTGCAACCTCGGTGTGCTCGTGCTCGCTGTGCCTGTGGATGCTGCCCGTCTCCAACCCCATCCCCAACTCCAACCCCATCCCCAAAGGGTCCGCACGACTCTCCCCACGCTGTCCCCATCTCTCACACCCTGTCTCCCCCCAGGGGACCCCGCGGCGGAGGAGTGGTCGCAGTGGAGCGTCTGCTCACTGACGTGTGGGCAGGGCTCCCAGGTGCGGACGCGCTCCTGTGTCTCCTCTCCATACGGGACGCTGTGCAGTGGGCTGCTGAGGGAGACACGCACCTGCAACAACACGGCCACCTGCCCAGGTATGGGGCACTGGGGAGCGGGGGGACGTGCAGGGATGGGGATGGCAGCGCCGTGCGTTTGTGGAAAATGGGGGGAGTGAGGATGCGGCTTTGTGCAGCTCGTTTCCCCATCATCTCACCTTCCCTGGGGCATCGAACCTGGGGAGCGCTGTGCCTGGGGAACAGTGCAGTGTGTGCGCCCCATGGCGTGGGGCTGGGGTCGGGAAGCCACCGGTAGCTGATCCCAATCTGTGCGTGGCAGGAGGTGGCCAAGCTGCCTGGTGCTCATAGCAGGATCACGGGCAGGAGCAGCAGGATGGATGCCTGTTGTGCCCTGTGCACTGAGGGGGCTGTGCATCTTGTGTGGGGCTGCAGGGAGCAGTGTGTCTGCAGCAGGCAGGCTCTGCACTCCATGACATGTGGGTGCTCCCCTGGGTGTGGGAGCTGACGGGGACATCTCAGCTGACAGAGCATCCTTTAGGATGCCTGGGGAACTGCGTGGTCCCTGGCTGCTTCCAGATGAGCTGAGCTCGTGTAATGTGCACACACACAGAGGCTGTGCACATGGTTTGGTGCCAGGGTGAGCAGGCACAGCGTGCACACACCACTGGGAGCCCAGCAGGGAAGCTGGAGCTGGGCAGGGAGCCACATGGCATCACTGCTGCCTGCTTGGAGCTGGTAGGGCACAAAGGTGGGGAGGGTACAGCTGTGCCATGGGATCATGGCCAGCGGTGCCCCCAGGCACAAGGGGTCTGCAATGTCCAGGACCCCTCAGTGCCAGGAAGAGGGGAAGCAGGGAGGCTGCAGCCCAGGGATCCAGGTGCGCCGTGACGGCCTTGTGCTGTGTTGCAGTTCACGGTGCCTGGGAGGACTGGTCCCCGTGGAGCCTGTGCTCGGTGACCTGCGGGCGAGGGGCCAGGACCAGGACGCGGCGGTGCGTGGCCCCGCAGCACGGAGGGAAAGCCTGCGAGGGCCCCGAGCTGCAGGCCAAGCCCTGCAGTATCGCGACCTGCCTGGGTCAGTACCACTCCCCTCTCCCCCTGCTCCGTGTCCCCAGCCCTGGGACAGCCAGGAAAAGAGCTGAGAGTGAGGGCTGTGCTCCCGGCACAGGGGCTGCAGTGATGCAAGGTTCAGGCATTGCAGCCACGGGGACATGGGACAGCGTGGGGAGGACACAGGGGTGCATCCCACGCAGTGGTCCCCATGGAGAGCCAGCCGTGCTGCAGGGCCCGGAGCCCCCACCATGGGCATGAGGAGCCATCCCCAGAGTGTGCTGCACTTGGGGTGGCACGGGAACATCGTGGGGCACTGGGGAGGTGCTGGAGGCAGCGGAGGGCTCTGGCTGCGTGTGTTTGCCCAGATGCTGTGTCAGAGCTGTGGGCTGCAGGGACACCCTGTGAGAAGTGCAGTGATGCAGGAGGAGCGCGAGGTGCACTGCGTGCACCCAACATCCTCACCACGCAGGGCTGCGTCCCCACTGCGCGTTGTGGCTTTTGTCACCCGGAGTGCTGGAATCTGTTGGAGTTCATGGTGCAGAGCGGTGCTGCGGCATTGCTGTGCCGTAGCAGCAGTGCTGTGGGGTCGGGGTCGGTCCTGGTGAAGAGACCCTGGTGAGGGCACAGCTCGGTGCTGCCAGCTCAGCTTGGCCACGTGAAGCGGCGCGTCGTTAGGTTGGACCCGTTGCACGCAGAGCGCAGTGCGGGCGGTGGGCAGCTGGGGCTGGGGCTGGCGCTGCGCGGGCATTGACCCATTTCTCTCACTTTGTCCCCACAGTGGAAGGGCAGTGGTTGGAGTGGGGCGCCTGGAGCCGCTGCTCCGTCACCTGCGCCAACGGCACCCAGCAGCGCACGCGCAAGTGCAGCGTCTCAGCCCACGGCTGGGCGGAGTGCCGGGGAGCCCACGCCGATGCCCGCGAGTGCTCCAACCCCATGTGTCCCAGTAAGGCTCTGTGTGCTGGGGGGGGGGGCCGGGAGGGATGCGGCATGATTCTGCCTTAATGCTGCTGTGGTGTCGCTGTCGGTGTTGCGAAGCTGCTGGCATGCTTGCGGGGTCACCGTTGCGGAGGGGGGTGCATGGGGAGCAGGACAAAAGCACAGTGCTGGGGTGCAGCAGCCGCCCAGCTCGCGCTGGTTGCTCCCTCCAGCTGGAGGAGATCTCTGTGCTGCTCATCCCTGCTGCTCCTTGCACCGTGCTGAGTACCCATCGGTACCTGATGGCTGCAGGTCCTGGTGCACGCAGCGCAATGGTGGGACTGAGATCTGACCCCGTCCCACTGCCCCGCAGGGTCCTGGGGATCAGGAATGGGGACACGGGGCTAACGGCTGTGCCCTGTCCCGCCCCTTGTTGGAGAGATTTAAGTTACTGACTCTGCAGTCAGCAGCGCAGTGGGAGCACAGCCCTGCCCCGTCCCCATCCCCACATGGCACTGGGTGTCGCTTGTCGCGCTCAGCAGCCCGGGGCCCCCACGGTGTCCCTGTCCCCACAGCCGACAGCAAGTGGGGCCCCTGGAACCACTGGAGCCTCTGCTCCAAGACGTGCGACACGGGTTGGCAGCGCCGCTTCCGCATGTGCGAGGGCACCGGTGTGCAGGGCTACCCCTGCGAGGGCACGGGCGAGGAGGTGAAGACCTGCAATGAGAAGAAGTGCCCAGGTACGGGGCAGCCCCCAGCGCCCACCCAGGGGCCGGGGCTGTGTCTGACCCCCTTCCCGCCCCACAGCCTACCACGAGATGTGCAAGGACGAGTACGTCATGCTGATGACCTGGAAGAAAACCGCAGCGGGGGACGTCATCTACAACAAGTGTCCTCCCAATGCCACAGGTGAGGGGCATGGGGCGAGCTTCCCCCCAGCCCTGGGGGTGCTGCCATTGAGCCCCCAGCCCTTGTTTCCCCTGCAGGGTCCGCCAGCCGCCGGTGCCTGCTGAACCCCCACGGGGTTGCATACTGGGGTGTGCCCAGCTTCGCCCGCTGCATCTCCCACGAGTATCGATACTTGCATCTCTCAGTAGGTGCACGCTCCGTCCCCTGTCCCCGTGGGTCCGCAGTCCCCGTCCCTTGCTGTCCCCATGCAGGGTGGGTGTCCCCCTAGCACGCTTCCTGCTCCAGAGGGCGGTTATTTCATCGCCCTGTGGGTAACCATGTGGGGAAACTGAGGCAGGGTGGGGAAGGCAGTCACAAAGTGACTCTTGCGATGGAAAGACCCTCTGGCCCCCTTTTCCTGCTGCTTCCCTAATTAGTCTGATTAGTTCTGGGCATGGCAAGGGATGAGGGCACCTGCTGGCCACTGGGTGACACCGCTGTCCCCTGCCCTCATCCTGATCCAGCTGCGGGAGCACCTGGCCAAGGGGCAGCGAGTGCTGGCGGGTGAGGGCATGTCGCAGGTGGTGCGCAGCCTGCTGGAGCTGATGGCCCGCAAGACCTACTACAGCGGGGACCTGCTCTTCTCCGTCGAGATCCTGCGCAACGTCACCGACACCTTCAAGAGAGCCACCTACATCCCGTCCTCTGAGGATGTGCAGGTAGCAGGATGGGGGCACTGCTGGGTGCTGGTGGGGGTGGTGGTTGCCCACCCCCGGTGCCACTGAGCCCCGTCCCTGCAGCGCTTCTTCCAGGTGGTGAGCTACATGGTTGATGCAGAGAACAGGGACAAGTGGGAGGACGCACAGCAGGTGAGCAGCGTGGCCGTTTGTCCCCACGAGGTGCCCCTACGGTGTCCCATGGGGGGGATGTACGCCAAGCTGCCTGCTGCCCACAGGTCTCTCCCGGCTCTGTGCACCTGATGAAGGTGGTGGAGGACTTCATCCACCTGGTGGGGGATGCACTGAAGGCGTTCCAAAGCTCGCTCATTGTCACCGACAACCTGGGTGAGCGATGGGCAGTGGGGTGGGATGGGTGGGGGTCCTGGGGTGGGGGGTCCTGGGGATGACACCTGCTGTGCTCGCAGTGATCAGCATCCAGCGTGAGCCCGTCTCTGCCGTGTCCAGCGACATCAACTTCCCCATGAAGGGCCGTCGGGGCATGAAGGACTGGGCACGCAGCTCTGAGGACAAACTCTTCATCCCCAGGGAGGTGCTGAGCCTCGCCTCTGCCGGTACGGGGGTGGGCAGGGGAGTGAGTGTGCACACGTGTGTGCGAGTGGATGAGCGTAGGCATCCTGGAGTCTGCACTGGTGTATGTGCATGTCTGAGCAAGCATGGGTGTGAGCACGCTCTTGCCTCTTTGTGCACATACGTGTGAGGGCGCACACGTGAGAACACGCCTCTCTGGCTGTGTGAGCAGACGTGTGAGGACATGTGAGTGTGCACCTGACCCTTTGTAGTGTGTCCATGTGTGCACGTGGCTGAGCATGCACGTCCAGGGGTCTGTGTCAGCATGAGTGTGCACGTATGTGAGTGCATGACTGAGCGCACAGCTGCAAGTGTGCACGCGTGTGCAGGTGGCATGATGCCTGCTCATGATGCCTGCTCATGATGCCTGCTCATGATGCCTGCTCATGATGCCTGCTCATCTGCTGGAGAGCAGCGTGTGCCTGTGCTGCGGGGCCGTGTGCTCCCTCCTGCGTGTCCCAGCGGCTGTGTGTGCCTGCTGGGTGCATGTCTGCAATGTGTGCACACGCGTGTGCTGGGCAATGGCTCTGCGCCTCCCTGCACCGCAGCACCGCTCTCCGTCCCCTCTGCAGAGCTGGATGAGTCGTCCCACTTTGTCATCGGGGCCGTGCTGTACCGCACGCTGGGACTCATCCTGCCGCCCCCCAGGTGAGTGGGGCTGTCCCTGTGTCCCCCTGTCTTCACGTCCCCCTGTCCCCATGTCCCTGTGTCCCCACCGCAGCTGCCTGCTCCCCACAGGACCCCGCTGGCCGTCACCTCCAAAGTGCTGATGGTGACAGTGCGCCCACCCACCAGGCCCTCTGAGCCCCTTGTGCTGGTGGAGCTCTCCCACATCATCAATGTGAGTGTCCCCTCGGCCCCACTCCTGCCCCATGTGGGGATGGGCACCCCGTGGGGTTGGGTCCAACCCGTCCGTCTGTCCATCCGCAGGGCACATCCCACCCGCAGTGCGTCACCTGGGACTACTCGAGGACGTGAGTGGGGCACGGGGATGGGGTGGTGGGGGGAGGTGCTGTTCCCATGGCCCCAGAGGCACTGTGGGGAGTGGGGCCAGTGCCATCCCACGCTGAGCCCCTCCGGCTGGGGGATAATTTTGCCGGTGCGGGTATCGATTTGCTTCAGCATGACGCTGGAGACAGCTGCCTACAGCCTGCCAGATGCAATTTGTTAGCGCAGTGCTTGCTGCTGTGGCAGGAGAGAGGAAAAGTAGGGCACGGTGGGGGGGGGGGGCTGCATCGTGGGGTTGGACACAGCACCCCTGGGCGCCCTGCACCTTGGCATCCCTGGTGCCAGGACAGCCCCACTGATGCTGGCAGGAGATGTGCTGTGGTGATGGCTGTGGCTGTGATGAGCGCAGTGTGTCTCAGTCCAGCATGGGGACGCATGTTCCCAGCTGTGCCACAGACCCACAGCTCAGTCCCCTCTGCCCTATGCAAGTGGCACAGCATCCCCATGGGCTCCCCATCCCAGCACTGCCTCTTGCAGGGCATTGGCCCCACAGTTGCAGAGGGGGAGCATTTGCCCCCCTGAATTTGAGTTTGCAGAGGGCATTCCTGTGCTGGGTGCTGGGGAGCCCCAGGACTGCTTACACCCATCCCTCCAGGCCTGGACCCCTCTGTCTGGCTGTCGCCCCCCAGCCTGGTTGGGTCGATTGCAGACTGAGGCTCCAGGGGGGGATCAGCGCTTTGTGCCATGCCTCGCACCCCAGGCACTCACCCTGCGGGGGCGAGCAAAGGGTTAATCCAGAGCTGTGAGGGGCTGTGCGGTGCTTTGATCAAATTGCTCTCTCCCTCTTGTGCTTGTCCCATTAATCAGCGATGCTGGCTTGGGAAACTGGGACACAGAGAGCTGCCAAACCCTGGAGACCCTCCCGGCGCACACCAAATGCCAGTGCCGCCGGCTCGCCACCTTCGCCATCGTCGCACAGCTGCCCAAAGACCTGGTAAGGGACGGCGGGTGGGGATGGGGACAGCAGGTGGGGGTGGGAATGTTGCAGGGCACGGCTGAACGGGGGTCCTGGGGTGGGGGTGAGGAGGTGTTGCGGCCGTGGCACTGAGGGGGGGTGCAATGGGGGATGTCAGAGCCGGAGGGGGGGGGGGTTTCCCACTGTTTGGTATCCTGGAGTCCCAGGGATGCGCTCAGGTGGCGTGGGCTCTGTTTAGGGGATGGGTCTCAACCCTTGTGGCATAAGGCCCCTGCCCTATTGCTATTCTGCCCACATCCCCCGTTGACATGGAGATGGGCACGGGTCCCCAGGAAGGTGCCTTGGCCACACCATTGCCACCGCCCACATGCTCAGGGGGTCCCCAGTGGGAGCAGAGGGGTCCAGCAGGGAGATGCCAAGGGGAGGCTGGGCTGAGCCTCTCCCTCCTTTCCCCTTCAGGCCATGGACCCCTCGGGCAGCCCGTCGGTGCCGCTGATGATCGGCTGTGCTGTGTCCTGCATGGCCCTGCTGACGCTGCTGGTGATCTACGCTGCGTTCTGGAGGTGAGCATCCAGTCGGGTGGGGGACTGGGGGGCACCCAAGGCATGACAGAGGTGGGGAGTGGGGTGGGAAGAGGGCACAGCATGAGCAATGGGATCAGCTCGATGTGATGCCATGCAGGGAAAGGTGAATGTCAGGATAGGGTTATGGTTGGGGTGAGGGTGGGCACCATCCCTGAGTCGGGGCAGCTCATGCAGCAGTTTGGAGACATGGGACGGGAAGGTGACGGGGAGGGGACAGTCCAACCCCCCAACCCCACGCCTCTCTGCCCCCAGGTTCATCAAGTCAGAGCGCTCCATCATTCTGCTCAACTTCTGCGTCTCCATCCTGGCCTCCAACGTCCTCATCCTCGTGGGGCAGACCCAGATGCTCAGCAAGGTGGGCACCTCACCACACCCCCCACACGCTGCGTCCCACCCCCAGCTCCCAGATTGGATTTGGATTAACTCAATCTCGAGATTAAACGCTTTGTGTGACGGCTTTGGCGCAACCCTCACCGCGGGCACAGGATGTTAACCTCCGCCGTGCCGCATCCCCTGAAATTCCCCGTGTCCCCGCAGGGCGTTTGCACCATGACGGCCGCCTTCCTCCACTTCTTCTTCCTCTCATCCTTCTGCTGGGTGCTGACGGAGGCCTGGCAGTCCTACCTGGCGGTGATCGGCCGCATCCGGACACGCCTGGTCAGGAAGCGCTTCCTGTGCTTGGGATGGGGTAAGGGCTGGCGGGATGGAGGATGGGGCACCATGCGACTTTCCCATTCCCCGCGGGGTTGTTGGAGCCCTCGTAAGGAATGGAGGCAAGGCGGAGAGCAGCGTGGCCCCACTTGGATTGTGTTCCCTGTCCCCATCCATTGGGGCTGTCATGGAGGGGTGGCCAGGGGCACAGCACCTCCCTCCCTTCTCCAGGTTTGCCAGCACTCGTGGTCGCCGTCTCCGTTGGCTTCACACGGACCAAAGGCTATGGGACAGCAAACTAGTACGTGGGGAAGGGGGGCACACCAGGCTGGTGATGGGGATGGGGAGCGGGTGGGGGGCATCCCCTCCCCACACCCCTGACCCCCCCGGTCCCCGCAGCTGCTGGCTCTCACTGGAGGGCGGTCTGCTCTACGCCTTCGTGGGACCCGCAGCCGTCATTGTGCTGGTAGGACGGACCCCCGTGGACCCCAGACCCTTGCTGTGTGTCGTGGGGGCCGTGGTGCCCTAACCCTGGCTCCGCTCCCCCCAAGGTGAACATGCTGGTGGGCATCATTGTCTTCAACAAGCTCATGTCCCGCGACGGCATTTCAGATAAGTCCAAAAAGCAGCGAGCTGGGTAAGTGCCCTGCGCCTGGCGGGACTGTGCGGGGCCGGCGCGGAGCCCCCTGCCCTGCTGTGGGGCTGGGGGCTGCGGGGGCTCATGGGCACGGGGTGAGCATGGAGCAGAATTTGTCACACCGGTGGGAGGTGGGACTGAGGCTGGAGCAGCCCTTTTGCAGGGGGCTTTGGGGGCAGCGCATGGGGAGGGGGCTGTCACCCCAGGGAGAGGGGCTGTGGACCCCCCTTGCTGCCGCTTGGCCACCGCTGCAAATCATTAACAGCTCTGCTGCCCCAACTAACCCTCTCTCTCTTTCTTTTTCTCCCTCCATTTGCTTTCTGCCCACGTCCATCCATCCGTCTGTCCATCCATCTGTCCCTCCCGCTGCCCCCCTGCCTTGTTGTCCCCTCCTGCCCCCCCCTGCGTGGCCCGCTCCTGGCCGCGGGGTGCCGGGGGGGTGGTGGGCACGTAGCTCGAAGCCCCCCCCCCTGCGGCAGCCTGCTGCTGAAATGCACCAAGTGCGGCGTGGTGTCCAGCGCGGCCATGACCTCCGCCACCGCCAGCAGCGCCATGTTAGTGCCCGCCACGCGCCCGCTGCGTCCCCACCCCGAGCACAGCCTGTACCGGGGTGGGAGGAGGGGGGGTCGGTACTTGGGGTGGATGCTGGGCACCCCCGTGGGGTCGGGGATGGGGTGTGAGACAAGGCTGTGTGCTCGGGGCGGCCCCGGGCGCGGGGTCGCGTGCCCCCTGCAGCCATCCCCCCCGCATGGCATGGCTTCTGCCATCACCTCATCACCAGGGTCGGGGCATGGGGGCTCTTCTCCTCCCGCTTGGAGTGTGGGGATTGGGGGAGGGCAGCATGGGAGCCCTTTCCTGGCGCTGAGACCCCGGGTGCTGGTGGGACCCCCATCCACCTGACGTCCCTATTGCAGGGGACGCATCCCCAAAAGGCAGTGCCAAATACCTCCCTTTGTTCTACGGGAGGGTGAGGGCCACTCCGCGGCCCCCAGCGCCCTGGGACTGATGGGGGGACAAGGAGCTCCCATGACCCTCACCCACACGTGGGTGAGCACCGGACTGGGGACCATGACCAAGAAAAAGGGGACCCGGGGGAGTGCTCGGATGCTGCACGTGTGGGTGCAGCAGTCGGGGAGCAGTCGGGGTCTCGGGGCTGTGTCAGTGCACCCCACCGGTGGGCTCACCCCCTGCCCTCTCTCCCTGCCCCAGGGCATCGCTGTGGAGCTCCTGCGTGGTCCTTCCCCTGCTGGCGCTGACCTGGATGTCGGCCGTGCTCGCCATGACCGACCGGCGCTCCATCCTCTTCCAGGTCCTCTTCGCCGTCTTCAACTCCGTCCAGGGCTTCGTCATCATCACTGTGCATGGCTTCCTGCGCCGAGAGGTGGGCCAGGGGCGCGGGGGCACCCCACTGCCTGCGGGGGACCCCCATCACCGGCTGTGTCCCCGCAGGTCCAGGACGTGGTGAAGTGTCAGATAGGGGTGTGCAGGAGCGAGGAGAATGAAAACTCGCCCGACTCCTGCAAGAATGGGCAGGTGCAGATCCTGGTGAGCGCGGCAGCGCCAGCGCGGAGCAGGCAGGGACCCCCGTGTGCCCCGCAGGTCCCCAAGATGCATTCACTTCCCCACCTCTCTCTCTCTTCTCTCTTTCTCTTTCCCTTTCCCCCTCTTTCTGTGTTTTTATAGACAGATTTTGAAAAGGACGTTGACCTGGCATGTCAGACAGGTGAGGGCTCCCTGTGCTGTGCGCGGGGGTTGGGGACATCGCCGCTCCATGCCATGGAGAGGGCATGATGCTGATGTGATGCCGGCATGTGGGGGCTTGCTCCTTGTTCCCCACCCACCCAGAGAACCCCCTCCAACCCCCTGTCTGCCTGCAGTGCTCTTCAAGGAGGTGAACACCTGCAACCCTGCCACCATCACTGGCACTTTGTCGCGCATTTCGCTGGATGGCGACGAAGACCCCAAGCTCAACACCAGCTCCGAGGGCAATTTGGGCTTCTCCAGCCTGCCGGGCAACATCCCCACTGCCAGCATCCTGGTGCAGGTGCCCAAGATGACACCCAATGTGGTGGCGGGTTTGGAGCTGGGCGAGCCGCCGGCGCAGCTGGAGGCACAGGGTCCTGTCTACCTGTGCACCGAGAGCAGCCTGCGGCCCCTGGAGTATGGCTGGCTGCGGGCGCCAGAGCCGCCAAGGGAGAGCGATTACATGGTGCTGCCACGCCGCAGCCTGCAGCCCTTCCAGCGCGAGGAGGGGCCCAGCACTGAGGAAGGGACCCCCCGTCCCACCGGGGCAGGAGAGGGGGATTCCTACCCCGGCTTTGTCTCGGTGGAGCACGTCAACGTGAACCTGAGCCAGCCCTACGGGACGGTGAAGCACCCCTACGGGCTGCAGTTCAAGCAGCACCCCACGGTGCGGCAGATCCTGGCGTCGGAGCTGTCGGAGCGCAGCCGCACCATGCCGCGCACCGTGCCTGGCTCTGCCATGAAAGTGGGGTCCCTGGAGGTGAGCGGGAAGTGAGGAGGGGCGCAGGGCTGGGTGTGCGTGGGGAGGGAAGCAGTGGGGAGAAGGGTGGTGAGCGTGCATGAGCATATATGTGTGTGCCAAGGGCTGCAGAGCTGCCCTGTTCCCGTGCTCCCTGCCTGGCACCTGCTGTGCTGGGGATGGCTGTGTGACGCCCGAGGCTCTGCCTTGGCCTGCAAAGACCTTTCCTTGTTCTTGTCCCTCTCCTCCCCACTGCTCTGTGCATCCCCCCACCCCAGAGGAAGAGGTTGCGGTACTCCGACCTGGATTTCGAGGTGAGCAGTGGCAGCGGGCTGTGGTGGGGCAGGGACCCTCAGCTGTGCCACGTGGGGCAGATGGGGCAGAGCCAGGCTGTAAAAACATCACACCTGGCACTGCAGAATGCTGACTGCCTGTCAGATCTCCAGCAATGGGTGGGAACATTTTGGTTTGGTGGGACGGGGCATCGCTCACAGCCGGTCTGTCCCTGGGTGTCCCCACGTGGCAGCTGTGCGCCCATGGGTGTGGGTGCGTGTGCTGAGTGCTCTTCTGTCCCCTGCAGAAGGTGATGCACACTCGGAAGCGTCACTCTGAGCTCTATCATGAGCTCAACCAGAAGTTCCACACGCTGGACCGGTACCGGGCGCCAGCTGCCGGCACCATCAAGGTGAGTTCTGGGCTCCAGGAGAGCTGGACACACAGGGGGGATGTGGGATCCTGGGCTGTGGGGGGGCTGTGGGGCTGAGTGCTGCCTCTTTCTGCAGCGAGAAAAGCGATGGAGCGTCTCATCAGGTGGTGGGGAGAAGAGCGTGGCCGCTGTAAGTGCGGGCTGTGTGTGAACAGGGATGCAGGGGCACACGGGTGGCTGTGCCCCCTATAGGGCTGGAGCTGTGCAGTGCCACACACCGCAGCCCCGCTCACCCCGCAGGACACCGCTGGCCCCGAGGACCCGCAGCCGCCGGCCGCGCCGCCCAAGCCCTGGAGCACATTCAAGGCGATGACTCTGGGCTCGCTGCCCAGCGCTCACCGGGACCGCCTGGAGCTGCGCTGTGCGGACTGGGAGGGCCCCTGCGCTGGTCTGGATGCGGCCGATGGGGACTTCCAGACGGAGGTGTGAGCCCCGCGCAGGACCAGCTCGGACGCTGTGTTACTCCGTCCTCCTCTGCGCCCGGGGGGATCCCAGCCGTCGGAGCCATCCCCGCGGGGGGACCGCGCACCCCACACTCACCCACCGCTCACTTGCGCACCCTCCCGGCCCCCCCCGGGCAGGACCGGCCGCCGAGGCCCTGGCATCTCCGTTGTTTTCTACCGGGATGTTTCTTCACGCAGTGCACCGTGTGCACGCGCGCGGCGGCCCCGGGCACCCCACGCCCCCCACGCTGGGTAGTGGAACCGCGGCCGGGCGCCCTCGCCCCGTGGCCGCCCCCTCCCAGCCGTCCCCGCCGTCCCCACCCCACGGGGCAGGTGCTGTCGTTGTTGGAAATAAAAGTTCACTCTCTGTGGAGCCGCGGGGCCGCCACGCGGTGCTTCGTGTGCCACCTACGGACGGAGGGATGGCGCTCGCTGGGGACGCGTCTGTCCCAGCCCTGCCTGCTGTGCCCTGGATCCTGAGTGCGGTTCAGCCCACCCTGACGCACTGCTGTGCAAATGAGAGCAGGAGCTGAGGGTGCTGAATGACACGGTAATTAATCTGCGAGCAAACTTTGGAGGCTGCTGGTGCCCGGGGCAGGGACAGGGGCACAGTCTGAGGAGGAGCAGAGGTGGGGCCCATTCTTGTGGGGCCCGAGGGGAGGACCGTCCGTGTGCTGCATCCGTGGGGAGCTGCACAGTGCAGGGGCAGGATGCAGACCCCCGGGGCGCGGGTCTCTCATCCCCTGGTCGTCCCACTGAGCACTGACTGCATGGCCCAGCTTATCCCAGTGCTGACTGGTTTGGGGCTGGGCTGCAGGCTGCATGCTGAGAGCGAGGCAGTGCTGGGCTGGGGCCAACTCCAGTTGTGCAACACTGGGGACCGCAGCCTCGGCGCAGGGACTGCAGCTGGGGTTTCCAGGGCACTGCTGCAGGATGGGGGCACGCAGCTCCCTGACACTGCACGCTGCTCTCTGGGTCACGGCGCTCATTGCTCAGAACAGCAGCCATGTCCTCATGCTCTGGTTGCTTGCTCTTCTCTCCACCACCCCACATCCAGCCCAGCCCAAACTTTGGGGCCGGCTCTGGTTCCTATCTTTCCCTTCCCAGCCCCAGGCAGCAGCAAGCAGCAGATCCTGGGGCATCTGGTGGCAATTAGCAGCTTTCATTACTCATGGAGACGCCATATGGGTGAGGGAACGGAGCCCGCCCTGGCGGTGCAGGATTGCAAAGGGGATGGGAGGGAGTGACGTTCCGTAGGGCTGGGGATGCATAGGAGGGAGCGCGGGGGTCTTCAGCCCCAAATCCCGTTGGTGGGTGCACGAGGTGTGAGTGGCGTCCGGGGGAACAGGCTTGGAGAGCATCACAGCCATTTTCCATCTGAGCCGCTGTGTGCCACAAAGACCCGTGCCAAAAATGTTTGGTTTTGGGGGGGCGGAAACGATGGAGAAAACACTGCGATGCTGAGCAGCCGGCACGGAAAGTTCCTCTGCTCGGGTTTGAGCGCCTCCGCCTTTGTGGAGAAGCACTTCCACCAGAAGAGACAAAGCTGCTGCTCCAGCGCCACAAACCCGGAATTCACACCGCAGGAATTCCGGGCTGGCACGAGCAAGGGGTGGAGGCGGGGAGCCCCGCGGTGACGACGCTGCACCGCATGACGCTCCATCGGAGGCAAATTGTCTCCAGCTTGAAAATTGCAGCGCTCTGCTCGGGGTCGGGTTTCTTGGCCGCTGGTGCTGCTGATTCTTGGAAATCCAGCTCGCCTCGGCGCTTCCCGGGGGCCCGCGGTCTCTTCCCATCCTTGCTCCAGGGGGATGGTGGGGGGACATTTGCTCTCTCAGTGGAGCTTGAGGCCGCCATCCCCACGGAGCCTTTGGCAGAAGGCAGCAAAAAGCCATCCCTGAGCCTGCCCCATAGCTGGAGGAGCAGGATGCAGTCTCCTGCCCCACGTGCTGGCATGGAACGGCACAGAGCTGCGGTCACCTCTGTGCTGTGGCTGTCCCCACGCTCTCCATGCCAGCAGAGTCCCTTTGTGCCACCGCACCGGGAACAACCAACCAGAACGGGAAAATTGAGGCACAGTGGGACCACCCCCAACACGACCCACAGCTGTGCCAGCAGCACCGAGGGGCGAGAGGACGCTCCCAGGCTGCAGCCAGGTGCCGGTGCCCTGCTCGAACCCGCGTGGAGCCGCTGGGAGGCTCTGCAAAGAGAGCAGCTCAGAGTGAATAATCACCCACTAAAAAGGAATGATAAAAGTTTCGTGATGTTTCATACCCACTTGCTTTAATTAGCCTTAATTGCTACAGTAGGCAAGCTGCAGATGAACTGAGCGCTCTGTCACCGCATCTCAGGGGCTGCCGGGTGGATAAACGGCACCGCACCGCTCCAGCAGCAGCGCTGCCTGCTCTGCCCCAGACAGCTTATTTACTGCGGGCTGAATAAATATCAGTTGTTAATTAGAGCGCGCTTATTGAGATGCATGCGTCCCTAACACACATTTGTAAAGCTTCAGTGTAAATAGATTCGTCCTAATTTGGGAGGGAAGCGGTCGAGCAGAGGCGCGGCGGTGCTGCGTTGCAGTGGGGTGAGGGGACGCAGGGGATGCCTGGGGCTGATGCGCAGCTCATGGGGGGCAGTGCTGTGCCGTGGGGTCTGCATGTGGGTCCCAGGGCTGGGCCTGAGGGAACTGTGAGCACAGGGGCATCCCGGGAGGACGCCGTGCTCCCCACACTGCTGCATTTCGGGCCAGCACCTGGGTCACCCTCTGTGCTTCAGTGTCCCCCCGTGCCCCACTGTCCCAATGTCCTCCTCTCTGTGCTCCAGTATCCTCCCGCACCACAACGTCCCTCCGGTGCCTCAGTTGTGCTGCAGTGCCCCAATGTCCCTCTGTGCCCCCGTGTCTCAGTGTCCCCAGGGGACGAGGAGCCGCTTCCCATGGACAGGAGCAGAGCGCGGGGCTCGCTGCCCCAGGACAATCCGGGGGGGGGGGGGGGAATGGGAAGGGAGAGGAGGGCGGCGTGCCGTTACCGGGACCCCCGCTGGGGGGCGGCCGGCCAGGAGGGAGAGGAGGAAGAGGAGGAGGAAGGCGGGAGGCGAAGGAGGGCGGTGGTTCTGCCCTACCCCCCCGCCCCGTGCAGGGAAGGAGGAGGGCGGGCAGCGGCCGGGGGCGGCTCGGGCTCCCCCCGGAGGGAGGCGGGGAAGGCGGCGGCGAGGGCGGACGGACGGACGGTCGGACGGAGCGCAGCGCCCGGAGCTCAGCGCCCGGCCCGAGCCGCACCGAGCCCGGCAGGTGAGCTCCAGGCAGCGGGCGGGGGAGGGCGGTGCTCCGAACCGGGATTGATCCGCGTCCTGGGAATGGGGAGCGGAGACCGGGACAGGACGGGGCACGGCAGGAACCGGGCTGCTGGTTTGTGAAGTCGGGGTGCAGGGGTGCGATGTTGGGGCTGTTGGGGAAACGATGGCACAGAGTCGGGGTGCGGTGCTATGATGTCGGGATTTAGGGGCATAAAGTGGGGATAGAGGGGTATAAAATCGGGGTGCGGGGGTGTAGGGTTGGAATGCAGCGTGACAAAGTTGGGATGCGGTGTTATGAAGTCGGGGTAGAAGGGCAGCAAAGCCGGGATGCAGAAGTGGCAAAGCCGAGACGCGGTGGTGTCGGGTCGGGCTGCAGCGCTGTGAGGTTGGAGTGCAGGGCTGCAAGGGAGAGCGCGACTACAGCAAAGCCGAGGGTGTAAAGTCGCGGTGCAGGGGGATGAAGGGGGGGTGCGGGGGGTCCTGTGCGTGTCCCACCCGGCAATGGGGAGCAGTGGGGAGCGGGGCAGCAGCCTCGTGCTGTTTCACAGCCTGGCTTCGTGGCAGGAAGCGGGCGGAGGGGGGGTCAGGTCGCAGTGACCCGAAGTGCTTTGGACCACTCCAGGGAACCACGTGGGTCCGGGAGGCAAAAGAGAACGGAGAGTTCTTTTGGGGTCCTCAGCAGGAAGCACGTGGGGCTCTGGGGCGCCTCAACCTGACTTTGGGGTGCGTCTGAACGTTGTGGGTCGGGTAGCAACCCTGAATGTGAAATCTGGGTGGGGGGATCCAGCAGTGGGTGGGGGCCTCACTGCAGCCCCGAAGGCTGTGTGAGCTGTGGCCGAGTGGCTCAGGGCCTCCTCCATGCTGGTGGCTCGCAGGCGGTTTCCCAGTGTGGGGAATGGCTGGGGCCCACCGCCCACCTGCCTGACTGCCCATCTCCCACCTGCAGGCAGCTGAGTTGACCCCGAGCTGCTGCCAAGGGCACCATGAGGGGTCTCTGGGCCGTCGTCGTGGTGGGGCTCATCAGCGCCTGCGATGGGACAGAGATGCCAGCAGAAGAAGGTAAGGGGCACAGAGAGTAGGGGCACGGGGTCTGCACTCCCCGGGATGCTCCCTCCTTACCTGTCCCTGGGTGTTCAAGGAGAAGATGAGAGAGCAATGCTGGAGCCACGAAGCGTGGGGCAGAGGTGGCTGGGGGTCAGCACAAGCCATGCTGGGTCCCCACGTGCCGGCGGCGCTGGCAGCAGGGCAGGCTGTGCGCTCCCTGTGCCGACTGCACGGGATGTGGGGCTTTGCTCAGCGTCCCAGCCGGGCCCAGGGCCAGCGAGAGCAGCGCCAGCGCCACTGTGGGGAGCCAGGCCGGGGACACCCCGCTCTCACCCACGTCACCCCCACGGCACTGGGAACACCCTGCAGGGAAGGGGGGGGGGTTTGGCCACGCTTTGGTTGCAGGTGCCGGTTGCCAGCTGGCTGTTCTGTCCTGTAGTGGGGCTGCTCGGAGCTCATGGCGCATTGTGGCTCTGGGGTGCAAGGCGGGAAGGGATCTGGCCACAGTGCGTGGAAAGAACGGAGGCATGGGGCTGGGCCCATGCTCTGGGGAGCAGTGGGCATTGGTGGAGCCCTGGGAGTCCCCTCTGCAGTGTCCCTGGCTGTGTGTGGGGTGCAGTGTGGGGCTGGCTGTGGGGCGAGCTGCAGGCGGATGGTGGGGAGGAGCTGCTGGCAGCGAGGCCGTGGTTGCATCAGTCCTTGTGGGGGTGGAGCGGCGCTCATCCTGCTGGGGGGCGCAGGGGCTGCAGCCCCTT